CAGCAGCTTAGTTGTTTTACAATCTTCTTAGAAATGTTATGCTTAAATATATTTGGCTTGTCCGGGGTATTTTTGTATATTGTTAACTGCCTAGAGCTTGTGGGAATCAGTGGCATAAAAACAAATAGATAAATAAATCAAATAAATAAATAAGCTAGCAAACATATACAAGAAACTGGACAGGAGTGACTTGACCTCTTCAATCAATTGCTTTCATAGAGTTAATGCAGTAGGAAGAACCTGACTTGCGTGTTAACTATCTCATTAATACAAAGAGCACTAAGCTGGCAGAATCATTCGTTTCTTTGAATAACCTAAGTGAAAATGCACCCAGAGAGTCAAATGTAAATGCAACATTTGATGAAATAGTAAGCAAGCACAACCATGCTTACCTCCCAGCCATATAGTACTTGTGTGTCTCATTCACCATGCTATATTACACAATTAAATTTGGAAATATGGGTTGGGTTTTAATTAAAAGTCTGCTGGCATTTTGTCCTGCAATAGTGTATACATTTCAAGTTAAACCAATTAGTACTCAAGACTCATTTTGGCCATATATAAAAACTTAAACATTTCCCCAAGGCAAGCTCAGCTCCTAGTGACTTCATGGACATGTCTGTATTGTTTTTTTGGGAAACATTAGGGGAGTGATTTACCATTCTCATCTTGTGTTTTGTTTTGCTTAATTTGTGGAATTTTAGTCTCTTACAAATCTTCCATTTTATAGTAGTCTCCAAACTTTACATTAACTAGTCCCAATGAGTTTTTGGAGCTTTCACAAGGATAGTGTAATTAATTTACATTGGCCTGTCAAGTTAACCTTTGGCTAATGAAGAATTGATCCTACTTTCTGTCTCATGTACTCCATTGTCCCTTGCATATAACATAATAGGATAAAACATCTTGGGGAATTGTACATGTCTGGTGAGCTGCCTGGAGGCCGTGCGGGTCTGGATGGGGAGGAACAGGCTCAGACTCAACCCTCCAAGATCGAGTGGCTGTGGTTTCCGGTGCCCCGATATAGTCAGCAGGTGCCATCACTGACTATTGGGGGTGAATCTTTGCCCCCCACGGAGAGGGCTCGCAATCTGGGTGTCCTCCTGGACGCGCAGCTGTCTTTAGAAGAGCATATGACGGCCGTGGCCAGGGGGGCCTTTTATCAGGTTCGCCTGATTCGCCAGTTGCAGCCCTTTCTGGATCGGGACGCCCTGCGCACTGTCACTCATGCCCTTGTTACTTCCCGGTTGGACTATTGTAATCCTCTCTACATGGGGCTCCCCTTGAAGAGCACTCAGAGGCTCCAACTGGTCCAGAATGCGGCCGCGCGGGTGGTTATGGGCGCAACCCGTTGTCCCCATGTGACACCCCTCCTGCGCGAGCTGCACTGGCTCCCAGTGGTCTTCCGGGTGCAATTCAAGGTGTTGGTTACCACCTTTAAAGCGCTCCATGGCATAGGACCCGGGTACCTCCAAGACCATGTTCTGCCACCAATAGCCTCCCACCGACCAGTTCGCTCCCACAGAGAGGGTCTCCTCCGGGTGCCATCGGCCAAGTTATGTTGGCTGGCGACACCCACGGGGAGGGCCTTCTCTGTGGGAGCCCCAGCCCTGTGGAATGAACTGCCCCCGGAAATTCATAAGATCTCCAACCTCCGGGTGTTTCACTGCGCACTGAAGACCCTGTTGTTCCGCCAGCCGGACTATCAACATAATAGTTTTAAATTGGGGTATTTAATTTTTTTGAGGTTTTAAATCTGAGCCAATTTATTTAATTAATTTAAATTTTATATTGCTGTTTTGTCTGTGTTTTTATATAGGCTGTACACCGCCCTGAGTCCTTCGGGAGAAGGGCGGTATAGAAATAAAATTATTATTATTATTATTATTATTATTATTATTATTATTATTATTATATTGAAAGCCCATTCCTTTTATCAATTATTCCAACAGATGCTTCCAATTTTACTTACATTTCCATACATCACTACCTTCCCTAATCTTTTCTTACGTTGTATTGAACTTCAGGGCCCAGGGCCCATATTACCTAGCTAACTAAGGAGGATATCTTTATTCAAGCTGCTACCAATAAAACTCAGCCCAAACCACAATATTTATGCACATATACAATTTCCCCAATTATTACTAATGAGAAACAACTCTTGTAGATCAGTCCACTGAAATCACATAGCATACATTATTCCATCTGAGAAATAATTATGTCTTAACAAGATCCCCTGATTCACAGATATTCATTAAGTAATGATAGGACAAAAGATAAACATTAGGCATAAATGTATATTCATTAAAATATTTCTTTAAGGGAAAGAGAAGATATGTGACATTCCAAAATCAAATTATTTTAGATAAGCTGAGATCACTTTATAATTTATATGTTACCTAATATGTTCAGGATTCTTTGTTTAAATGTAACATTTGCTATACATATATAATATAACTTTTATTTCAGGAGTCCCTAATCTGTGGGCTGCAGTCCACTAGTGGGCCATGAGGGGCTTGCAACTGGGCCACAGAAATGTCTGGTGAGCATGCCCGCACATGCGTGCACCCCCTTTAAGTGAGCAGCTGGCCGGTTGTGCAAAACCATCTCCTCTCCCCTCATGTCAGAAACATTGGGGAACTTTGTTTTATTTCATTAGTAACTGTGTATATTTGTTACCTTTGTTTTTATGGTTACATGATGTTACACAGTAATTTAAAAAAAAAACATATTTCAAAGCAAATAAGAAAGCCTCCCCCAAGAAAAATTGGAAAGATTGTTAGGGAAAATATTTAAGTCCAAGGCTCAGTTAGAAGGATAAAAACAAAAAGTTGATTCAAGTAATGGAAAAAACAATGTTGTGTATGTAGATTTTGGGTGGGCAGTTTGAATTAACTGACCGTCAGCTGATTGGCTGACTACCACAGCTGCAAGGTATATAAAGGGAGCTGTTTTCCCTGGTCAGTTGCTGGGTTCTCACCCTACAATAAAGAGCTGTTGTCACTCACTGCCTGGCTTGCTGAGTCCTCATTCACCCAACCTAACATTGGCGACGAAGGTGGGATTTTGAGGCCAGAAGCCACGGAAAGAGCTGAAGCCATGAGCCAATGAGAGAGCTGCAAACCCGAATCCAGCCAGGCGAGCGAGCGGAGTACTTGGAGAATCTACCAATGATGTCTACCTATGTACCACCAGTGCCTTTCAACCCCGCAGAAGAGAAGTGGGGATCCTACATGTCCCGCTTCGAATGCTTCCTGGTGGCCAGCGACCTACAGGGGCTACTCGACATATGGAAGAAAGCCCTGTTCCTGAGCCATTGTGGACCCAAGGTGTTCGATATGGCCGAGGCCCTGTCGGAACTGAACTTGGTCCACACCATCTTGTGGCAAACGCTTCAGACGCTGCTGAAGGACACTATGCTCCAACGCCATCGAAGTACGTGCAGCGGTTCAACTTCCGGCAACGGCTGCAACATAAGGGAGAATTGATCAGCGAGTACATCGCTGCCCTGCACAAGGCCGCAAACCAGTGCGAGTACCGAGACCTCGATGAGATGCTGCTAGAGCAACTAATCTGCGGAGTGAGGGATATTCGCTTGCAGAGAAGGTTGCTCGCAAAGATAAATCTCACACTACACATCGCACTGTATGAGGCAAGAGCTCACGAATCTTCCTCCAAGGCAGCCGAGAGACTACAAGGGTCAGCGCAGAGCAGAACAGCACAGAAGTCAGCCCCGGTTCACCAGGAAACCGTAGGCATGGGGAGCGAGGAAGAGTTGGACGAGGAGGTCTGCCAGACCGAACAGTACCGGCAGGACTGGCGAGGCCATCGAGATGCCTGTGCCAGTTGTGGGGGACCACAGGCCCCAGTTCACAGTCACGCAGTTTGAGGGGTACTTAGCAGAGTTGGGGATCAGGCACGTACTATCAGCCCCATTTCATCTGGCTAGCAATGGATTGGTGGAGAGATTTGTGAGAACAGCTAAGGAAGCCATCTCATGCCTAGGCCCAGGGGACTGGCAGGAATGGATTGACAAATTCTTAACGGCCCAACATGCCACACCATGCACCACCACAGGCAGAAGCCCGGTGGAAGTCTTAATGGGGAGAAAGCCCCAAGGAGTCCTAGACAGGCTACATGCCAGTTATTCCCCTGATAACTTCAGAGAAGCAGAGAAAAGGCTTAGGGAGTTTACAGTAGGGATGCCAGTGTTTACTAGAAATTACGGGAACAGGCCCCTCTGGGAAACCGGAACAATCACAGAGGTCACTGGGCCCAAGTCTTATAGGGTAGACATGGGAGATGGGAAGATTTGCCGCGGGCACATTGATCAATTATGGAAGCGTTTAACTGCCGACACAGAAGACATCATCAACGATCCGGTCCCTAACTACCAACTGAACTCCAGACCTAACTCAAGCCTGAGTCAAGCGGAGGACTTAGCTGTCGGCCCCGAGATCCAGCACTGCCCCATCGCAGAAGATCGGTCAGCCGAAGAAGTTGCTGCCCACAATGAATTCTTGGAGGTTCCATTGGCAGAGCACGGAGAAACAGGGAGTTCCTCTGACCTGCTCAACGCCACACCTCCGAACTGCACAGGTCAACTAGGGTGCGGACACGCCCTGGTCACCTGAGGGACTACGTATGCTAATGTCCACCCCAAGTGACTTCTGGGAGGGGAGGAGTATTGTGTATGTAGATTTTGGGTGGGCAGTTTGAATTAACTGACTGTCAGCTGATTGGCTGACCACCACAGCTGCAAGGTATATAAAGGGAGCTGTTTCCCCTGGTCAGTTGCTGTGTTCTCACCCTACAATAAAGAGCTGTTGTCACTCACTGCCTGGCTTGCTGAGTCCTCATTCACTCAACCTAACAAACAACAACCCTTATTTGTTTGCTTTCAAGTTAAAGATGCTTACCCCGACTTCCTTGTGTCTGGTATGATAACACTTTGACCAGAGAGAAGAAGTTCTCATAAGAGACAGAAAAAGAAATTGGTTATGGCAGCAGACCCATTTATTATCCAGGTGCGAGTTTTCAGATTGTAATGCAGCCAGCCAGGTCATCCTTTGGAATACATGCACAAATTTATAACATTCTTCAGGCTTTGTTTGCCTGACAGCAAAAGAAAATGAAAGCTTGGATACCCAGACAGATTTTCTAGTCCTTTAGAAGAAAATAATCACCGTATAAATATTCATCAGATCTACCCGAGTAAGGTTCAGAAAATTAGTACTGAAAAGAAACTTTGACAAGAAATAAAATGCCTGATCTTAGAATTTACAGATAGACACATGAAATTTACAGACATCAATCTGTGTGTTTTTCTGATTGATTGGCACAGGAGGTGGGCATTAGTGTGGGATTCAGCTAGTTCGCATGACTTCGGGAGAACCGGTTGTTAACTTTTGAACAGTTTGGCAAACTGGTTGCTGGAAGAAATCATTAGGGCAGAGAACCGGTTGTTAAATTACTTGAATCCCACCACTGGTGGGCATATTAGATTGGTATTACAACATCTAACAATTTCTACCACTGCTATGTAAACATTAAGTAAATTGTAGTTTTTTAATGGCTATTTCTTTATTTTTCTGACACTATCCCATTGTTGTCAATATAATGTCTGTAGACAGTAACTCAATAGTGCTCAATAGATCCCTGATTTTATTGTCTTTTTACAAAGTGATTTTACTTTTCAATAAATATTTCTGAATTTAAAAAAAAGGAAGTTAGCATATTCCAAAGTATCATCTCTTATTTCCAATGAAACACTTCTAAGTTCTATAAAAGCTACGGTATTTGTTTTTAAAATAATAAAATAAAATAAAAATGCCAGAAAAATACAGCCTCACTCTTTTTTTTAATAAAAAAAATGATTGTCTGCTTATGCCATAAAATTGATAAAGAAAAGCTGAAACAAAGATTACCCTGAGGTGCCAGAGAAGATAATGAGAATAATATCTATAATTTGCCCTTTGATAATTAACATCACACTCACCATGGAAATTATTTCATGGAAGTGTCCATATGTTCTCCAAATTATATTTTCCCCAGGAAAAATCATAGCATATAATATCATTTTAAAAATAGGGTCCTATACTTTTCGTCCACTTTCTCAACACATGCCAGGCAGCAGTGGTGAAATCCAATTTTTTTTACTACCTGTTCATCGATCGAATACGGAGATTTACAGATTAGTCTTCAAATATCGAAAAGGAGGACATGTAGGAGGACACTTTTCGAGAGAGGACAGAACTTACAAAAGAAGGACTGTCCTCCCTAAAGGAGGACGATTGGTCATGTTATATATAATAGCCTTAATTCAGGGTGAAATCCAACAGGTTTTGACAGGTTCTGGAGAACCGGTAGCGGAAATTTTTAGTAGTACGGAGAACCAGCAAATACCACCTCTGGCTATCTCCAGAGTGGGGTGGGAATGGAGATTTTGCAATATCCTTACCAAGCCATGCCCACCAAGCCACGCCCACCAAGCCATGCCCCCAGAACAGGTAGTAAAAAAATTTGGATTTCGCCACTGCTTTAATTTTATCTCTGCAAAGTCTAAAATATTTACTATCTGGCCCTTTATAGAAATAGTTTGACTTTGAACTAATATATTTGATCAGCTAAACATGTGACATCTAGTCAATGTCAATTCTTAGTGAAAATGTAAGACAGATTTTCTCCAAGAAGATGTATTCCAACCTGGTCCTTCTTGTCTTCCAACAGCCCACTATAGCTCTTGTAACTAAATCCATCTACCTTACTTCTGGTCACTCTGTTTTTTCCTTCAAGCTTTCCAAGCAAGATAGACTTCTCCAAGAAACCAAGTCTTCACACAACATGTCTGAAATATGATAATTTAGGTCTCTAAGTTGATTTCTTCAAATAACCCATTTGCCCTTTTTTCTGGCTTCAAAGTATTTTCAAGAATCTTCTCTAATGCCAAAGTTCAAACTACTTCTGTCCTGCTACTTTGACGTCCAATTTTTGCTTATACCAATACTTACAATGTTTTGATTTTTGTAGGTATATACACATCATGGTGCCTGATTAACTGCTTCAAAGCCTTCATGGCTGTTCTGACAAATGCTACTCTGTGATATATTACTTGACTGCTTGTTACTTTATTATGGAAAGTTGATCCTAAAAGGCAGAATCTTTCTACCACTTTGATATCCTCATTGCCAATTCTAAGGCCGGTTAGTATACTTCTTGTCATTAGTTTGGTCTTCATTTAATTTTAGACCCATTTTTTTCTCTCTCTATGCTCTTGACTTTTATTACTCAAGCTTTGACTCCTCAGCTGTCAAGTAGTGTCATCGGCATAGCCCAGGTTATTGATGTTTTTTTCCTCCAGTTTTAAAAGCAGCTCATCTTCTTCCAATCAAGTTTGCCTCAATATATATTTTGCATATAGATTGAATAAATAAGAGGAGAAAATGAAACTTTGACCTGCACTTTTCCTGATTTGGAACTATCCTCTTTCACCGTGTTCTGTCCATACTGATCTTCCTGATCTCTATACTGTATAGGTTTCCCAAAAAGTCAATGAAATGTTCTAGGATTCTTTTTCAATGTAATACATACTGACTAATGCTTTCAAGACAGAGAAAGGGGTAAACTTTCAAGACAAAATTAGCCAAGTCTAATTAAAACTCTCATATCTTTAGTGATGCTCTAATTGTATGCTTGTGAACAAAATGACTAGTACAAAACCTCTATGGAATTTGTTCTTTATCTTTCAGATAAAAATATCAATGATTAGTACTAGTGCAATTAATCCATAGGATATTATAGTGTAGGTGTAGGAAATTTTATCTTGATAAGGTGCTTGTGCTATGAAGTTAACACAGTTCAATTTTCTTAAGCAAAGAGGCAGAACAACTTGCCTCAACAAGATTCTTCCCTTTTTTGACTCTATCAGATATATATTGATGGTCATGCTCATTTGGTTCTATGGGGAAATTATTTGGTCAATACAGCTTCAGGTTCAAAAAGTTGTTTTTAAAATTTACAAATATATACATGCATACGATAATGAACAGGGTGTCCTGTTACATTTTTACCCTAACTGTATGACTCAGATGTTGAGAGGAGAGAGAAGTTCATGTGTTGTCTCGCTGAGAGATAGATGAGAGAGAGAGAGAGAGAGAGAGAAAGGGGAAGATATCCAAGTGGTTTCTAGGTAAGAGTCTAATAAGAGAGTTCACTGGCTGATATAGTCACATGTGATGTCTGTAAAGACTTAACCCCTTCTAGTCTCTGGTGCATCATATGCAGGCAATATCTGACAGACTCATCTTTTCCTCTTCTGGTATTTGCAAGGACCAGGAAAGCTTTCTGTACTAGTGCCATAGAGAGCAGCTGACCAGAAGTGTCAGAAGAGATTGCCAAAGAAGGTTGAGAGAAACAATAAGGCTGTATTGGTTCATGAAGCAGCTTTGAGTACTTTGCTCAAACTTTGTCAAGTTGAAATGTCTTCTCAAAGCTCTGCATCATCCTATGTGAACAATTACTTACATTAGAGATTCTTTCAGATGGACATTCAAGAGTTTCCAGTTAAAAGGCATTTGGTAATTATTCTGCTCTTCTTTATTCAACAGATACCCTTGTTGGGGCAGGAGAGGATGGGGGTATGAATAGAGGAAAACATACCTGTAAGTTAAAAATGGAAGATTGAATTGTTTAAACCAAACTTCAAATTAAATAGGAAAAAGCACTATTTAAAAGCAAAAGCAAAACAAATGAAGACTTAAAAATTACTCACAGTATTTCCAATAATGTTCATGACTTTTCAAGCAGATTTTCAGTGAATCAATACTGCCTTTCTTTCCCTCAAGATCCCCTTTTTTTTGGAATAAAACAAAAATTCAAGAAAACAAGATTAAAGAGCCTTGGTGGCACAGCAGACTAAAGTGCTGTTAAGTAACACCAACTGCCTGCAATTACTGCAAGTTTGAATCTCACCAGGCTCAAAGTTGACTCAGCCTTCCATCCTTTCGAGATAGGTAAAATGAGGACCTGGATTGTGGGGGCAATAAGATGACTTTGTATAAAAAAGAACACTGCTTAGGGGGGCCCAAAAGCCCTACTAAGCAGGTATATACAAAAGTATGAAGGCTATTGCTTAATGCATTGTAAGCCGCCCAGAGTCTCCGGAGAAGGGCGGCATATAAATTGAACCAACAAATAAATAAATTAATTAATTAATATTTGATTCACAAATCTGAAATGTGTTACTTGCTTTTGCTCTAATTTTCAGCATTACTAGTACCTGTTAAATATCTTGAAACTAATACACTTCACTGAAATACTGCAGTTATGTATTTGCATGTTCCATTTTCTAAAAGAGAAGCTAATGCATTTCAAAATTCTGTTGCATATGCAATGAGGAGATAATTTTACTTGCCTAAAAGACAATAATTAACCAAGTAAGATTATCAGTTGCATGGTACTACCAAGCAAATGGGATAAATGTGATTGTTGAATTATTAAAAGAATTAGATTTATTTGTAATAATTTGCTTGTTTTCAGAACTATATGCCTGAAGCGATCAAACAGCTTCACATATATAGTTTGGGTTCATGTTGAATTTTGATGTATTTTTTTATAGCTTGGTCATATTCCTGCAATAATAAAGGTAGCTGATATTAACTTTTTAAAAATTTTCTATCCCTGTTCTATGGTGATTTCATTTTTAAAATTTTATTAGTGATAGCATAACTTTATGATGTACAGATAATTTCCATGACAGAAACAAAAAATGCATAACTAAAATATAGATTTTTTTCACAGAATTCTCTCTGAAAAGGTCGGACAGATTACGTAGAGAGCACATGTAGTACTTACTAAGATTTTTTCAGGAGAGGGAAGGGAGAAAGCGATGAATTCTGTTTTCCAAGAAAATATAGAATTCCAATACTTTTAATCAAGCATTTTTTTCAAGAAAGGTAAAAGCAGTGTCTGAGAAATGCATCTGAATTTTGGGACACTGTTATAAACCACATATCAAACAAGTACCAGTATTTAGCTAACCTTGACCGAAAATAATAATTTTTTAAAAAGCTAAGCAGAGTTCATCTGTTTATGGAGATTCTCAATCATCCAGGTCATGGTTGTCCCAAAGGTGCTTTTTCAAAAGGCAACCGGACTTTGTTTTTCCTTGAACACATTTCGCTTCTCAACCAAAAAAACCTGAAGAAGCTTCTTGGATGAGAAGCGAAATGTCTTCAATGTCTTTGTTTTCAAACAAAGGTGTTTGAAAAAGCACCTTTGGGACACTATTAGGACAGGAGGCTGTGGGGTCCAGTGAAGGTTCTTGGAAATAGCAATAGGACTTAAACTTATGTACCGTTTCACAGCACTCTCTGGATGCTGATACAGAATCAGCATATTGTCCTCATTTTACCAACCTCGGAAGGAGGGAATGTGGAGTCAACCTTGAACCTGTCAGGATCAAACTCCAGACTGCGGACCGAGTCAGCCAAGGTTAGAATACTGCATTCCAACCACTGTGTCACCAGGGCTTCTTATAGAAAACAAGGACAAATTACCATATTGTTGCCATGAAAACTGCATGGATATGAAAAGGTCATCACCAGACATTGGACTCAAGAGAATCTTTACATATACTAAAATTCATCATTATTCAGGCCAGTGGTGGGATTCAGCCAGTTCACACCACTTCGGGAGAACCGGTTGTTAACTTTCTGAGCAGTTTGGCAAACTGGTTGTTGGAAAAAATCATTAGGGCAGAGAACTGGTTGTTAAATTACTTGAATCCCACCACTGATTCAAGCCCATGTGTTGGAGGAGGGGGGGTGCACTGAGGGAGCTCAACCAATCTCATTGTACATATGTTGTGGACTGACAATAAAGATTTGATTTGAATTGGTAATGAAAATGGGATACCACAGTGTTGCTGATAGAATGTGACAACAGTTATCTTCCTTTTGCTCCATTGTAATCAGAGGGAGAGTTTTAACTATGCAACTGTAGAGTTTGCATGGCTGAGGACTTCTTTGCAGAATAGGTCAGTTAATTTAAAATTATTTGATTGGTTGATTCTGAATTACCATCAATATGTCCCTTGGAGTTTTCAGTGGCATCATAACTGGAAGCCTTTGGTGATGTACCTTGTTGTTCCACCAGTGGCTTTCCACCTGTGTTGATAAAGTGTAATTCAGCCCCATCAGTAACAAATTATAATGTTTCATTTCAAAACTAGAATATATCTCCTAACCAAAATGAGGGACATTCAACCTCATGTTGTACAGCTGGGACATTTTTATGAAAGTCTTGGACTTTACACTTTCCCCCACCCCAAGAAATGTAAACCTGGGATTCATATCTACTGTACACTTCATTGTGCAGACACTATTAATGGACTATAACACTAAACTATAAACAAGCCAGAGAAATCAAGCAAATTCATTAATGAGAATTACTGACAATGAAAATAACACAAAATAATGTCCTACTCTAAATCTACCATTTTCTTAATTCACACATACAATTACTTTCAACATATCACATACACAAATACACATTACATTATGTTTCATGCTGCAATCAGACACTCCAGTTCTTAAATTATGTCTTCTTAAATAAATACTTCTTGTGCTGAAAAGTCCTTTACTATATAACTCACAAGAAATGAAGGAACCTCTATAATTCATATTCCATATTTTCTTCTTTTTCAAATAACAAAATGGATTGGAATTTATGGCCTAATATTGTTTTATGGTAAGTATCTATTGCCTGAAGTATAACATTCAGGTTGTGTCATCTGTGGTGAGACATAAAATCACTGGATACTAGGCAGGATAAACAGTTTCCTTTATTTGGGAAAAAAAGAAGTTCATATGTTAACTCTTATAAAAGGGTTATAAGAATAGTTATAACTGGAGATATGACTATTACTAAGCCCACGCATATACAGACATTCTTATTCCTGATAAATATCATAAGCATTGGACCAAAGGACTAATTAGGCAAAACAGAGTAACTGTTTGCCTTTTGCTAATGCAAGGAATCTCGCCCTCCAGCCTATCACTTTCATCTCCAGTGTATGTTGTTTGATTATGACTTTTACTGTGTGAAGCAAATAACTGCTCTGCAAACTGTGATTATGGTTTACTGTAGTTTTTTTTTAATGTGAAGGTTTCATCCTGACTTCATGAATGAATATTTTATTTTGCCCCAAAGATGAAGATCCTGATTTATTAAATGTGTGAAATTTTCTGGTTTGTCTTAACAAAATTGCTGATTTTGGCTCAAAGCACTAGATAAGTCATATGTTGGTTTCAAATTAAACATAATATATCACTATTACTGATAATAGCTTTAGGACCATTCCAAACCTGTTTTAGAAACATAAGATAAATTCATAAATGTCTTTTTAAAAGAATATATATATATGTTTCCATGCCACTGTTTATATAAGGAAAAAGTGGCACTTTTGCCGATGGAAATTACATAAGAACTTTGAAGTAAGAACTTTAAATATAGAACAATAGAACACAAATACACACCTTCAGGTAGACTTCTCAGTGCTTCCACAATAGATTGTTGTAATTAAACTTCTGCTCACATAAACAAACTAAGAAAGGATGTAAAAGTAATGAGCTGACAACCTGGTGTGTATTATGTTTGGCTTCTAAGAGAATTTAATTTGAAGAAGAATTATGCACAAGCTGAAAGCTTAAAGCAACCTAACTGTCTGGAAAGAGATAAAAAAAATATGTGTTCTACCTCCTGTGAAATAAATAGCAAGTTTCATGTTTCTTTCACCTTGTGGCTTTAGCACCTTTGTAGAGAGGAAACATCTGGATAGGTAACAATGCCAATTCTTCAGATGTGAAGTGAAAAGCTTGCCAAAGTCTACTATGCTGAGTATATGAAAAGAATTGCTTCTCAAGGGGGCTTTATGCCCTGGCAGATGTGGCCATCTCAATACCACACAGATCCTTAGAGATCATAGTAAAATAATGATAATAAAAGAGCCGAGAATGGAAAGAGAACAACAAAAATTACTGTTTCTTTTGAAAGTGAAATCACCTTTACTAATTCAAAGAAGCATCTTGAGACTTCAGAATTTCATGCAGTATATATAAATCTTGGGTGTGACCCCCTGTACACCTTCAAACATTGGCAGCAAAATTGTAATTCTAAATGTGACTGAAGGAGAAAACAAATACATGGACTACCATCATGATAACTGAATATAAATGTTTTAAGGTTTAAACAATTTGGAATTAAATCAAATGTTGTCCACTTTTATCTCCTAGACCTAATTGTTTTTCAGAGAATCATGTCACTAAAAAAAAAAAAAAAGAACAAGTACAGCCTTCAGGCTCTTCTAATTCTTCTTTCCTGTTTTAATGATTATGTGTGAAGAATTGCAGAGGTGCAGACCCTTAGAATGCTGAAACCAACTGTTTGGTCACAAGAATCTCTATGAAGATTTTTTTTCTTGTCTGAGTAGAGGGCTTTTTCCAGACCCTGGCAGAATTTCTCCCCAGTGGCATACCAAATGTGAGGCAATAGGAACAATCGATCTCAGATGCAGGCAATAAGGTGATGCATTATCTATAGAGAATTTAAAAATCAAATTGATTAAAAGTTTTCCCCAAAGTTAAGCAGTTTTTCTATTATGAATTTTGATACCATAAGTAAGGTGGATTTTGAGGATTTTAATGTCAGATTCTGAAAACTCTGGTTATAAAAGAACAAGTGTATGAAAAATGTCTTGTGGGAAAATATTGCGAAAAAAAATCCATGAAAGCTGACCTTATTCAAACAAATAAATAGGATATAATTATCTTCTAATCTCAATTTAAAGTATGAAGTCAGCCACCCAATTGACATTGACCCAGTCACTGTCTCTCAGTCCTAGGAAGTAGGCAATGGTAAACCACTTCTCAAAATGTTGCAGGGATTATTCCAGGCAGTTACCAGAAGTCAATACTAATTTGAAGGCAACAAAACAAACAAACAAAGGTAGTTTAAAACAAACCTGAAACAGATTCAGGCTGTTTTGACTATTTTCGCATCTATTCAACCCTCCAGACAGTACAAGCACAGGTTTGGAGCTCATAGAAAATTGCCAGCTAATTGCTGGTCACTGACTGGCCAATATGACTTTAGAACAGATGAAAAATTACAAGAGGTGGCCGACAGCCTGTGGCTGCTTTCTTAGTCTTTTGTGTTGCTCAAAAGCTGCAATTCATAAAAGAAGTGTGATTATTTTCTTTCAGTTACATTGTATGAAATTGCTGGAGTTCTGGAATACTTGACAACCATAAGTAATCAAGAATAAGAATGTTTCAGATTTTTTAACTACTGTTGGCCCCATTTTCTTCTTGAATGAAAATCCGAAGACATCAAATTCTGACACTGTATAGTTTTTGAGAGTGTAATTTGTGTACATAACAGACATTCTATGAGTCAGTTGATACATCTCAATTGCCTTTTATCATGCTTCCTACCTAAAAAACATTACCTCCCCTTCTTGTAAGAAAACCAAAACCAAAACCAAAATTAAAGCAAAACCTAATGAATTCTAGCAGAATACATTTGTTTTACATAATGGCAATAATCATTTTCTATTCTTCTATAGCAGAAATCATTAGAATAAATATGAATATATGAAAGAAATTCAAAGTACTTATCCTTTACCATCATATTTCAGAAACATGGGTATACAAGAGGATATTTACCTGACCCTTTCTGTTTCTCTTGTTGTATTCTCAAACATGGCAAGAAAAAGGAGACTGTAAAACATTTACTGCTTCAAAAACTATTGTCACACAGGATATTATCAACATAACAACAATCTTCGCTAGAGAGATGTATACCTTTAAGTTTATCCCATTGTGATAAATGACTGAAGGGGCTGTTCTGCTCTCTGCTTGAATTTCATTAGCCAGCCTTCAAATGTCAGTAAACTCATTGCTAGATTGTTGAAATGTACTCTTTTCAGCGCTATCCTTGAAGATAATACCAAAAAAAAAAAAAAAAGTATAATCTTGCTGAATTCAGTCTCCAGGTTATTCTGCGAGACATTTAACTAGGGGCATGTCATACCAACCTTTAAATTACCAGTTTGAATACATGTAAACCATTATATCAAATTCTCTATGGTGACCTTGGGCTAAGAGTATTCCAGCAGGAAAGTGCTGATTTCCATGAGAAAATGCAATATAAATAATCTAATTTGCATGGAGGGGAAACCTAAGGGAGGTGGGTGATTCCTAGTCTCTATAGGAGTCTAATTGGTTTACTGAAGGACCATCTTTCCCATCTGGTCACAAGGCATTATGCCTCCATGACCAGCTGTGCTTTGCCTGCTAGAAAGACCAGAGTTTGATCTGATAGTCACTTGTGCTGACATTGTTTGGTAAGGAGAGTATGTCTTGGAAGGCACAGAGAGGGAAACCACAAGAACATGAATAAATAAAAATCCTTAGTGGAGGTTGCTCTTCAATGTGCATATTTTGAGCATTGTGAAAAGATAGTGATTTGGTTAGCTTGTGTACTTTTACTTTCTAGTAAGGTGTTAGACATGGAAGGAGGGCAGATATGGAAACAATAACAGTAGCTTGTATACCACCCCCCAGAGTGTACACTTGTACAACCAACACCCCCCCCCCCCCCCAATAGCACTTTATAGCACTCTCTGGGCTGTTTACAATGTAAGCATTATTTACATATTGCCCCCAACAATTTGGGTCCTCATTTTACTGACCTTGGGAAGGATGGAAGCTGAGTCAATCTTGAGCCCGTCAGGGTCAAACTCCAGTCTGTGGGCAAAGTTTGCCTGCTGCATTTTAACCATTGCATCACCACGGTGACAAGTTGAAGCATCAGAATGTCCTGTCCCTCAGAATTCCTCTATGAGGGTTATGGGTGGTTTTAAAATTTGATAAATAAAAATAAATAATAAGGGTTGAGTTTAAACAGATAAGGAAAGGCAACATGGGCAGCCTTCATTAGGATCAAAAGCTGCTTCTTTCTGTATGGATAGCATAGGAACTGCTTAGTTCTATCCTTATCTTTCTGGATACTCTACATATCTTTGGGCTTCCTGCTTCTTGCTCCCAAACCATCATTAGCTCCATTATTGTTGGATGGATCCAGTGGTGAAATCTAAAATTTGTTACTACCGGTTCTGTGGGTGTGGCTTGGTGTGTGTGGGGGTTTAATGTGACTGGGTAGGCGTAGCCAATTTTTTTTTTTACTTTTAAAACCATTTTTTACATGTAAAACCATGTAAAAAATGCTTTCAAAAGGCTCTGACGATCCCAGCTGAGTTGCCTGATCATCAGAGGGTTTTTAAAAAACCCTCTGCCAATCAGGCAACTCAGCTGGGATCGTCAGAGTTTGGATCGTCAGAGCCATTTAAAAGAAAATAACTTTTTTTCTTTTAAATGGCTCTGACGATCCAAGCTGAGTTGCCTGTTTGGCAGGCAACTCAGCTAGGATCGTCAGAGCTTGGATCGTCAGAGCTTGGCTCATCAGAGGCATTTAAAAGAAAAAAGCCTCTGATGATCACGTGGCTCAGCTGGGCATGGGGGGCGGGCAGGGATTTTTGCTACCGGTTCTCTGAACTGCCCACCGCCATCGCTACCTACTTGCCCGAGCCGGTCCGAACCGGGAGGATTTCACCCCTGGATGGATCCTTTCTTAGAAGTCACTCAAACCCCAAAATGCATTTATTTCAGATGTCTGCAATCAAATTCAATGTAACTTAAGAAAGTATCCTACCTTCTCAAAAGTACTTGGATGGAAAAGAGGCATTCCTGGTTACATTGAAAATCTAAGCTCCAATTTTTGCTTAATGATCCATGTCAGTATCCAGACTGCATTTTATTTCTAGTCAGAATCCCCAAGCTTTCTCAGGATAGCTTTCTACACTCAATATGGTACTGAAGCTATTGGACATTCTGTTAGATCTTTAGCTTTCAGGTCATTTTCTTGTTTGTTATTAGCAAGGGATTAGAGGTTTAAGGTCTCCGTGTTTAATGGCCTCAGTGGGTGGAGAGCACAGCTCTAGCTGTGAAAATGACAAAAATCAATAGCTAATCCAGTGCATTCACTCAACCTTTTCAAAGCCTCATCTGTATTGATTTCCAAGTGCTGCTCTTCTTGTCTCTTGACGTAATCAGCCCGTTTGCTTGGTAGATATACACTCTCTGGTGCCTTAATCATTTTCCTTTTCTTTCTCATGTTTAAACTTAAACTGCTTTACTCATTTGCTGCTGGCACCTGAGAATAAAGACACAAGAGGCTGAAATAGCTTTAAACTAAATCCAGAGCTTTATTAAATAATTGCTTCGGTAAGCATAATAATTAATTGCTTTATTTCCCATTCCCCATGCATGGATACATTAGTATTTCAGAATGAAACTAGAGGATTATGAAAGGGGAAAGTTTTTTGGCTGGCTGATGCCAGTTTTGGAATGGAAGGTTATTAAGTTATGGTGACATCGCTATGGCAGAAGGCATATCTTGCCACTGCCTTCTAGCTCTATGCCTCCAATATATATAAATCACACATATGTGTGTGTGCCTGGTGGAAGACTCCATCCTATATGTGAGCTGCCACGTTTGAGGACAGTGTTACTGATGATCAGTTATTTAGAACACTTATGTAGTTATTTAGCAGGAAACCACCTGCTAAACAATTTAGCAGATCCTGAGTTCCTTCATCCTCTTATGGAGGAACATTTTAGCTGCCCAGCATATTAGTACTGATTCCAAGGTGCTCACTACTGAACAAAGGTGTATGCATTGTTGTGGCCACAGCACAGCAGAACCAAATCACTGAAGTTGCAACATAATTTTATTATAGACATATAGTAAATAATGTATAGTGGGCTCCCAGCAAGGATCAATACAGCTTGCTGTAAATGTTTTCTTACAACTACTTTAAGCAGTTTGTATGTATAAGGAGTATCTCAAAGGTTTGGTAGGAATGCACCTTACCTATGTATGGGAAGGTATCTTTTACCACCACAGCCTGATCTCTCTCCCTCCCTCCCTCCCTCTCTCTCTCTCTCTCTTTCTCTCTTCTCCCTCCTCCTCCCCCCTCTCTCTGAGATTTAAAACTCTTTCCTATACATTAAACAAAAAGCAAGCTCTTATCAGAGTAAGTATATTAATCACTTTCTCCTTTCTCGAATGTCCATAAATTGTACAGGGAGTGAACATGAGAACCTAGTTGTCCATGCATATAGCATGAATGTTGAGGTAGAGGAGCTTCATACTTGTGTTACAAAATCTGTTTACAACTACAAACATACTGCAGCCCAGCTGAGAGTACAAGGTTGATATCAATGAAATATTTATTTATTTATTTATTTATTTATTAAGCTTATATGCCACCCTCTCTCCGGAAAGGATTCAGGGCGGCTCACAGCAATAAAAACAGATAAAATCAATATTAAGTGTTTAAAACCATTAAAACTCCCCTTAAAAACCCCTTCAATCCAATCCGGCCTGGCGAAATAACCATGTCTTAAGGTCACAGCGGAAAGAGCTCAGGTCAGGGGCCACCCGGAGCTCCAGGGGGAGTTGATTCCATAAAGTAGGTGCACCCACAGAGAAAGCCCATTTCCTAGGAGTCGCCAGATGACACTGCCTGGCCGACAGCACTCCAAGGAGGCCCACCCTGTGGGAATGCACCGGGAGATGGGGAGCTGTCGCTGGCCGCAGATGGTCCGTCAGGTATCCCGGGCCTAGGCCATGAGGGCTTTATAGGTGATAACCAGCACCTTGAATCTTACCCGGAGGGCAACTGGTAGCCAATGCAGGTCGCGCAGGAGGGATGTAACATGAGAGTGTCGGGATGTTCCAATCACTACCAGCGCATCTGGCCATGTATCTGGCAAATCAGAAGAAAAAATAATGTTTTTCTTCTGCTATGTGTTGCTCATTTCAATTCATATTTAATATTTTAATTTTAAGTGGATGTTCTATTTTTTATTGTAGCAAACTATTAGAGGCTTAGGTAGTCAGTAGAATATTAAACGTAATAAACAATGAATTTGAAAGAGTTCCTCCTAAACCTCCTAAATGCTTGAGGAAACTAAAAGAAATGGATACTTGCATACTAATATTAGTAGTTGTACCTGCCTGCTAGTGTTGGTCATGCTCAAAGATTAGTATGTACACAGTGGCGTATTCACTTTGGTATTTGATCCATTTCTGTATTAACTACTAAAATGAATATGTCCTGGACCAATCCCATACTCAGCGCAATTTTGACATTGCTCAGGCATGAATCATAGTGCATGCTTTATTATAGGATGAGAAAAAAGTATGAAGGTTTTATTGGAAGTTACATGCTAACTTTTGGTTAAACTAAGGCGTACAGTCCTATAAACAGTGTTTTGGGCACAAACCAACTTAGATTTGCTTCGACTAAACTTAGCAGTATATACTTAAACAAAAGAAATCTTTTACCTCTTACATATTTGTCAGAATATTCATGAACTGGAATAGGGCTTAGTAACAAGGTCAGCCAATATATAGGCATAGCAACTAAGTCAGCCAATGGGAGCTGATTGGTGACTGAAACAGTTTTGGAGCCTAGGCGAGGCTTAGGTCTGTGCTCAAATTCTGAAATTAAAACTAATCTGCTCTGCTGAATCAATTACCTGTGTGTGCTTTCTGGATTTGATTTCTGCAACAAATACTGACAATATTTACCTGTTACTTCTTCTGATTTCATGCTTTAATTTGTTAGTAAGCTGTTTGTGGCCCGCTTTCTTAGCAGTGCTGCTTTCTTATATCTTATATCAGAATACCTATTATTCTGCCCGCCTTCTTCAGAGGCAGTCACTGAAGTTGTTCATTGGTGCAAGAGATATGATATTTTGTTAGGCTCCTTTCAACCATATAATTTTGATTAATTTCCTAATTCAGATTTCTTCTACACATATTCAGGAAAGTCTTCACACTAGACATTCACAGCAGAAATGAATAGTAATGTTCAATTTCACAAATCAAACTTCACCATTATTTGCCATGACACATACGCATATTTTAATTCATATCACATATGTTGCTAAGACTTATTGAATTTAAAAGTGTGTACATTTGGTATATAGTCCTAATCAGTGACAGAAATTTACTCTCTCACACATTTTTAATAATTAAATCACATCATTCTATATCCTATCTAAATGTAACACATACTGTAATTTGTGGTTATTAGATGTATCCTTTAGCATTGGACAGGAAAAACCATAGTACATAGCAAAGTATACTAAGAAGTCAAGTAGTTGTAGTATGGATGAGTGCAATTTTATTTTAAAAATAAAAAACCTGAAGACATTAAAACTGGGAGATTAAGTTGTTCCTTCACAGATAGGCAGGTAATCTGGTTAGATTCCATTTCTATTTAATTATAATAATTATTTGTACATTTTACAGTCATTTAGCTGTTAGCAACCATTCACATGTACACAATAATAAAAAGTAATAAAAATATTTTTCACTTAATGCATGCATTTATTACTAAATCACATGTGCCTGATAACAAAATCCTTCAGCGTGAAACTGATTAAGGGTTGGTCAGTTTCAGGCAGCAATGCCTGCTGGCTGGCCAGTTCTAATCACTTAATTAAATCACAGAGTTTAGCTTAACTTGAATTTAGCCCACTTTAGGGTTTTAAGTTAAAGATTGCTGATAATTTGAGTAATCTCTCCTTTCTGGGAGGCCCCCCTCCCCCCTCCCCCCACCCCCCAAAAAAGGAAAACAAAATGGCTCAAGGATCATAGACACGGTACAAGTGAGGAC